CCATGTGTCTGGCATATTTTACAGACACATACTGTTGTAAGTGCTTTGAATGTCTGTTGCTCCACCAGACTATCGGTAGATGGAACCCCCCTCACCCAGAACATTTGCAGTTGCAACGCCTAAAAGGTTAGTGACGAAATGCTTTAAATGCGATGGAGATAATCATCTATTATTCAATATTCAATTGGCTTTACAGCATCTGTTGCTGCACTTGGCTTTTTGGCGGCTAAAGCCAGTTTGCTGTCAGTAGTTTCTGTTAATCAGTCTTATTCGGCAAAAACCGGCTGACAGCGTATTTCAGCCACCGGCCTACCTTGAGCCGCCCACCCTGCCGAGCAGCGGCCGCCGGCCCGCCTTGAGCCGCCCACCCTGCCGAGCAACGGCCACCGGCCCACCTTGACCCGCCCACCCTGCCGGGCAGCGGCCATCGGCCTACCTTGAGCCGCCCACCCTGCCGAGCTGCAGCCACCGGCCTACCTTGAGCCGCCCACCCTGCCGAGCAACGGCCACCGGCCTACCTTGAGCCGCCCACCCTGCCGAGCTGCAGCCACCGGCCTACCTTGAGCCACCCACCCTGCCGAGCAACGGCCACCGGCCTACCTTGAGCCGCCCACCCTGCCGAGCAACGGCCACCGGCCTACCTTGAGCCACCCACCCTGCCGAGCTGCAGCCACCGGCCTACCTTGAGCCGCCCACCCTGCCGAGCAACGGCCACCGGCCTACCTTGAGCCGCCCACCCTGCCGAGCAGCGGCCATCGGCCTACCTTGAGCCGCCCACCCTGCCGAGCTGCAGCCACCGGCCTACCTTGAGCCGCCCACCCTGCCGAGCTGCAGCCACCGGCCTACCTTGAGCCGCCCACCCTGCCGAGCAGCAGCCACCGGCCCACCTTGAGCCGCCCACCCTGCCGAGCTGCAGCCACCGGCCCACCTTGAGCCGCCCACCCTGCCGAGCAACGGCCACCGGCCTACCTTGAGCCGCCCACCCTGCCGAGCAACGGCCACCGGCCTACCTTGAGCCGCCCACCCTGCCGAGCAACGGCCACCGGCCTACCTTGAGCCGCCCACCCTGCCGAGCAGCGGCCACCGGCCTACCTTGAGCCGCCCACCCTGCCGAGCTGCAGCCATCGGCCTACCTTGAGCCGCCCACCCTGCCGAGCAGCGGCCATCGGCCTACCTTGAGCCGCCCACCCTGCCGAGCAGCGGCCACCGGCCTACCTTGAGCCGCCCACCCTGCCGAGCTGCAGCCACCGGCCTACCTTGAGCCGCCCACCCTGCCGAGCAACGGCCACCGGCCTACCTTGAGCCGCCCACCCTGCCGAGCTGCAGCCACCGGCCTACCTTGAGCCGCCCACCCTGCCGAGCTACAGCCACCGGCCTACCTTGAGTATCTGCAGCTGGACCTCCTCGTCCGTATGGGCGCCGGTGAAGCAGCCGCAGATGGTCTGCACGATCCGGTCGATCTGGCGCTGGCCGGCCGTGGTCGCCGTCAGGTCCGGCACGTCCCCCGTCAGGTGGCCGTACGCGATCAGTTTCTGGCGGAGACGCGGGCAGCTCGGGCATCCTACATCGCTGAGCGTCTGATGGCTGGTGCCCCGCCGCGGCGGGCGCAGCTGCCCGCCTGCTAGGCGCTTATACGACTAGAAGTGCGACTAGAGGTGATTCAAAACCCCACAGGTAAAATCGTCACCAAATAATACACAGAATTTCATGTGATTATGGCATTTTGATATTACAGCACATGCTCACTCACACACGCGCACGCCCACGCCCACATACGCACGCACGCACGCACGCACGCACGCACGCACGCACGCGCACACGCACACGCACACGCACACGCACACGCACACGCACACGCACACACACACACACACACACACACACACACACACACACACACACACACACACACACACACACACACACACACACACACACACACACGAACTGCACTGGCTGCACAACCTGCGTGCGTCTTGCACGTGCTGGCCAGTGCGAGCCGGCAATACACTGCCAGTGCGGCCACGCCATGGGCGTCGCGCCGCAGCCGCCGCCGCTGCCCTCCTCTGCCCTCACCTGAAGGCAGTCCAGTGCCGTCACGATGATCTTGGCCGACTTGGACTGGCACGCGAGCTCGAAGGGCAGCAGGTACTTGTCGGCGCGGAAGCCGGTGCTGTCCTGCTTAGGCAGCGGCAGCACCGAGCTGCCGTCGCCGGCCGGCTCGCCGTTCGCCTGGCACTGCTTCTTGGCCTCGTCTGGAGTGGCCCAGCTCGGTTAGCGTGTGACGACCACAATATGCCATTGGACCAAGGTGTTTTACGGTGAATCGAGCAAGAGCGAGATCAATATGATATGGATCCGAGGTCCATGGGAACGCGTACAACATTTAAAACAATAGCTGACATTTAGTATGTAAATATACCCACACATAGCAAACTATAGACATTTATCAACAATAAAGCACCATTTATGGCACTGCATGTTGCAATGAGAACAAACTGAAATTACTTGCACATATCACTTTAACAGAGGCCAACCAGACAGACCTGACACCAACACACCACTTCCCTCTGATGATACATTCCAGCATTTGCCAAACATAAATAGCTTCCTTTCACAAAAAAATTAATGCCCATGCTCATCTATATCTGCACTAAGATTGTCCATCATCCTCAGCCACAATTCATTTTCTGTAAAAATCATGCTGATACATGTCTGCTATCTGATAGCTCAGTTGGTTACAGCACCTGCCTCCTGATTCACCAATGCACAGCGGGGTGGGCTTGAGTTGCATCACCTTATGCACTCTTACTACCTACTGGATGGGGACAACCTACACTGGGTGAAGCTGCTGTGCTAAACCTCAGATTATGCCCAAGGATAGGATGTACCATGCTGAGTACTGAGGAGCATTCACCTTTCACCACAATATTCTGTTCTTGACCCAGAATTTAACAATTAAATGAGGGAGGGGTCAGGGCTCACATGACAAGCATTGCCCAGTGTTCATGCTGATTCTAGAAATTCATTAAATGAAGCTATTTTGAATAAATGCCTGAAGATTGAAAAATAGAGGGAGTTAGCCTATAAATTCTACCATTGATTTTTTACTGGTAGCAGCCTTTCATAGACATTGAATGACCCTTAACTGAGATGAAATAAGGATGTGCTGCACATATCACACATTATTTTGATTGGTCTGAGACCAAAGCAAATCCACCTTACCTATCACAATGTTTTGAAAACAATCTCCCAAGACTAATAACCTTAAGCATCACAATGACAGGAAGGGGATGTACAAGCCAAGAGGCAAAAGCCTTTGGGTTCAGCTTGGAACTGCATAATTAGTGCTTTCTTAATTACTTCCATGTGGGAGCTAGAGTTGAGTCCTGACTGCATCATGGCCTTGAGCAGAAAATAGATGGCCTTTTCATTAGCTGATGCTGCATAAAGGGGGCACAGTGACATAGGTAGTATTTCCTTAAAATAAACAAAGTTAGAGTGGCAAAAATTGCAGCTACATAACTTTTTACCCAATGGATTTTCTGACTATATCTTCCTGGTAGGTCATGTGATATGTTGAGTTTCTAATTGTTTTACTAATCTGGGAGCATCTACTGTCTACTGATTTGATACCAAAAATATGCCACTGGCATTTATATTTGCTGGGATTGACATTATCTGGGAACACTGCCCAGCAGCCTATGGGAGGTGCAGGCAGCTGTTGTGATAGCTCACCCATCTGTTCTGGTCATGAAAAACTGTGAAGCCATGCAATGGTTAAAAGTAGCTAAAATCATGACTCCTGTGATCTAAAAGGCATGACAAGTATCTCAAAAGCCACAATTGAAGAAGTTATATAGAACAGAGTAGAAGCAACCTTACCCAAAGCATCTTGGCAGGCTTTTCTGAGCTGAGAGTGATGAGGCTTCTTGGTCTCACGCTCCTGCAGGATTTTCTCCAATGCCTTGATGATGAACATTTCCTTGCTGGTTCCTGTCTTCTGCATTTCCTTAGAGTAAATTTAGGAACTATCATGAATGTAAATGGCAAATCATAACACTTCTTCTTTACTGGTACTTGATACTAATTCCAAATAGAAATATCAGATATTATGTGATTAAATTTTCACTGACTTATTGTCAGCATGCTGCAATGTCAAAACAATGATGAGTATGGGGAAATAGGAAGTAACAAAGCATGAGCTACACAAATTCAAAAAGGAATGGCTATGAAGCAAGTATATCACAACTGCATACACTTTCACAAAGTCCGGGGCCAATGTCACAGCACTCTAACCTGCCACTTTCAACAAGGTGCACAGATGGTGTGGGACACAGTGATCACATTCCCAGAGCACCATTTGATAAGTAATACCTCGAGCCGAACACAATTTGTCAATTTCTTAGTTAAAATTTTGAGAAATTGATGGCACACATACATGCCGAGGAATTACGATCGACAGAAGCCTAGTAATGAACCTATCTGGGCTGTTACGGGAACGAGAGGTCAGTAAGTGATGTGTTCTCAACTCACACACCTTCACAACTGCTCACGCACTCGCAAACAAAGCGGAACATTTTTTTGTTCACCATCATCAGTGCGCCCATAATAACGAGCTTGAGGCATGCCATGAAACTCGCCCTAATGACATACAACCACCCAACAACACCAAAATGATAACAGCCCACCGCCCCACACACACTCAGCGAGGTACTTGCAGATGCGCTCGCTGTCGATTGCCAAGCTATCATGAACACGTCAATAAGCGTAATATGTGTAACTTTTGAACACGAACCTAATTGTTGTTCGACCAATAAATTTAAAACTGGTTTTTCTTTTTTTCCCACTCAATCTCTAGAAGACAGGGGTTATCATAGAAGAAATTCATGCCCTTTCCTTACATCGTTGATGTCCCAAACTTACTAAATGCTCCTGATAATTTATAGACATTTACAGCGCGCTTAAGACTTTGCAAGGGTATCAGGGCAATCAATGAAGTCACCGCATTGGGACTATAGGACGTGCACTACTTGTTTCCTTCAATTGCGTGATATGGTTATGATACTTCTATTGTATTGCGTTGCTCTGAGTCTGTCAGTTGCATTCTGGATATCCAACTATGTGAGCCTTTGGATGTTTGGAAATGGTGAGGATAACGCGCGGAGAGCGATAGCGTAGGCCTATCATAGACTTCAACATGAGGTGAAAGCTCACAATGGCTGCTCAGAAAACAATAACAGTTCGCTAAAGCACAAACTGACAATGCCGTTTGTCGGGTTTCTTTAATTTTCTTTGAATGTCCTGGGTAATGGCCAAATTAAGAGATAAGAGGGGTAAGAGAAAACATCAACATTGACCACAGGGCATTGTCACAGCTGTAGGCCAATTCCACAGAGGCTAAAAATGCAAAGATTTCACAAGTTATGAAAATGATGAAATATCAATACTGGCCACAAGTCATTGGCATAACCAAAGGCTAATTTCACAGAGGTGGAATGTTGGAAGATGTCAAGATTGGTTCAATAATTCACTTGGTATAGGATATGTTAAGTACTTTTATATCATTTTAAAGACAAATTGATGATCACTAATTTTCAAATGACTTGAGAAACCATGTGAGGTTATGATATAGTGATCAATGTGAGAAACCATGTGATGATGTGATATGGTGATCAATGCAAATTTGTTAAGTGAGGCATGTGTAGTGTTCATGAAAGTATGACTTACATGATGTATGCAAGTGCATGGTAGATAAGATAGTAGAAATAGCCTAATTTGTCATAGAAAAACACAGCAAAAGAAAATGTAAATGTGTTACATTTCCCTGTTTTTTTCTATAAGGAATGAGGCCATTACAGGTGTCATGTATATATATATATATATATATATATATATGTGTGTGTGTGTATATATATATATATATATATATATATATATGTATAATGTTCTTTGCAAATTCATTTTACTTATACAAGTGCATTATATATAAACATAGGATTCACATACATATTGTGTTAAAAAAGCATGCATGCATCATGTCATCATGTGCACCATGCCTGGTTCTCAGAACAGTTCACTTGAGTGCTACTTTCAATATTTTGATTCTGTCAAGAGGCTTCTCTTAAGAGCCCACCATGGATATGATTAACATTCACAAGGAAACAAATACAGAAGTAAACAAGTAGTTTTGCCAGCTATCAAGTGGCAAATTAAGTAATAGCAAATAATTTGCAAGTATCAACCTGCAACTGCTAAATGCCAACAGTGCAGAATATTGCATTTGGAGTGTAGGTGGCACTGAGTGGGTTATTGTTAAAAATGCTATTGGTTTTATTGATAATGCTTAAAATGTCATGCAAATGGAAACACAGTTTTTTCAGCAAAAAGTTTATTAGAATCTTACAATTCCTTTAGTTTCCTCAGGAAAGGTGGCTAAGGCAAGATGGAGAGCTGTGGTCAGTTTGCAAGGGCTATCTAAGTATAGGGATTCCATTGTAAATGGCTATCAAAATGAAGGGATCAAAGCATTTACATTAATCCTTGTCCAAGAATGTGGCAACCACAGTGGTTCATGAACTGTCTACAGATCAGGGGTAGGAAGTTTAAAGTTTCATTTGAGCAAAAATGACGCCTTCAGAGCAAAGATGGATGATGACCTAGTTGTTATTAGCCATAAAAATAGCATGGGTTTGACCAGTTTGTCTGATGGGTGTTCAGGTATTGAAACATTCTCAGCTGTCAGGAGCCATGATGTTTGGCTAAAGGCCACTTTTGGTTCCCATGTGCTGTCACCATATTAATTGCAGAGTTATTCTAATATTGGCCAACATCACTGTGTTGTGCAAATTAATTGGTGCTCAGTGAGGAGGATCTGTTCCAAATTCAAAGTTCCAATATGAGCTAGTTGAGCAGCATGTCTGTTGTGTTGACCTTGTCTTTTGTATGATCAGATATACAGCAGTGACTGTGGGGAAAGTGCCAATTTCTTAATGTATTGTGTGCAACCCAATGTCACCTTATTTTTTAGACCAACAAGTAAGAGAGTAGCTGTGACTCATTTGTATGTTAATGATGACGTCATCAGCTGTCTCATTGTGCAAGTCCCACCGATATGGTGATAGCAGAAGTAAATTATACAGTGTATGCATTAACCTGCATTTGATCCCTAATGTTGCTTCGACGTTGGCATCAGATCACAAACATATTGATAGATTTCGAGCTCAGAATCGCCCACCGAATTGTATGTGGTTCACGGCCTCTGGATATGTTTCCCCACTCTGGAGATATACGGCGGTACCGTTCCCAGCGCCGTCTACACGCCTTTTGTGAACCCCAACAATGGCGCTTATAATAAGAGACCATCTTTTTGTTTTCCAACTTTCACATATTTCACCAAAGTTGATTGGGGTCATGTTAAAATGGCAACTTTTGACATCATTGATACAGGAAGCTCTTTGAAAAAGACCGGAGTCACGTGGTGAAAGTTGCAAAGAAATTTTGAAATTTACAAAAGTTTCCTTGCCTGCAGCATAATCTCTCGAAAATACCCGAGGCTATAATGCGGTGATCGTTGCCCAGAGGGGTCTGGGACTCGCACAGCTGTCTTTAAGGGCCCGAGAATATCCCTGGTATGTAATTTCAGATCTTCTGAAAGTATGAGGGCGTAAATTTGAGATTTGCTCGGTTATTTTGTCGTGAAATGCCACATTCCCCCATGCACATATCTATGATTAGCTGGAACCGTGTTTGCTAAAGGTTCCAGCTGCACAACCATTGCGATGTCTTCTCTGTTAAAATGTGCAGGGTGGCTGATGGGCAGCTGTAGTTTCAGACGTGTGCTCAGCCCCAAGATGGATCGCCGCCATCATCGTACCGATCTTCATCGCCCACCGGGGCTTGAAGAAGCGCAGTTTGGATAAGTCAGGAGTACTAGCAGGTGGGTGTTGAGCCAGGCAGATAGTCTGTTTAATGTTTATGCTAACAAAATAACGTCTTGTGCGCGTTGAGACGGGCGAAGTGATCGAGCGTGTGATACTGATCAGATGTCATCACGTAGACGATTCCAAAAACGTAGCTAGTGCCCCCAAACACTTTTAAATGTTGTTGCTTTTGAAGCAGGGTGAAAGAAGACGTGATATTAATGCGCTGAAAGCCCCGCCCTGCGTGAGCGTTCAGTCGAAGATCCACTAGTTGTGTGCGCACGACGACAAATAGCTTTGCATCAAATCTGACCGGTGAAACCTTGCGCTGACGAGAGGGGCAGAAAGCATTTCCCAATACACTGTTTCAAGTTAGCTGCGAATCGAAATACATGATCCTTGTACTTCATTGTGTTGTGAGATTATTCAGAATACTGTCCTCGCCAGTGTCGTTATTGTTTACTCAACGTTTTGGTCTGATACTTCTCTCCGGCCTTTCTTGCGTGTCAGTTCATCCTGAGAAGGACTTGAGGGTACCTAGCGTATTTTTGGCGGATATGCACAGCTGTCATATGCTTACTGAAATGTTTTTGGTCACGTTGTGCCTTGTTTGCTGGACCATGCCGTGCATATTGCACATTGTATCCCAGTCGGTACAGGTTGTCACCGACAAAAACCGGTAAACACGCCATTTTCAGCCAGCTGAAAATGGCGTGTTTACCGTTTTTTGTCGGCGACAACCTGTACAGACTGGGATACATTTCTGAAGCTGATAGCCGCAGTCACACTTCCTATGAAATGAAGTTACAGTGACCAGCAATGGCAAACTGTAAAGGCATACTGATGCAACGATAGGATCCAACGAGTATCTTGCTTGCTTTTGGTTTATGCATCAAGCAGCACCTGAACCTGTGGCCTGAGGCCGTCAGCCACGAGTCATGTGATGCACGACTGCTCCTACAACCAGCCTGGCGATGTGCTACCACTGCATGGTGTTGACTATTTGTCATTTGACGCCATCTGACCAGAGACAGACGGCTGCCATCTGACCAGAGGCGGTCAGCTGCCATCTGACCAGAGGCGGTCAGCTGCCATTTGATCAAAGATGGTCAGCCGTCGTCTGACCAGAGGTGGTCAGCGTGGCACACGTGCGCCGCTTTGTACGCCACGAGAAATATCTGTCCGCTGCCCTGTCTGCCAAAATGGTCGGGGGCAAAATATCAGTTGAATTGAAATAGCTTTCCCTAGGCAGATGGATAAGGGTGCGAGCAAAGACCTTTACGCTACATATACTCCTATCTGTTTATCCTCATTGTTCGTGGATAAGGATGCATTTACAGTTGCAAGAGTTATTTTCATGCTGCATAACTGTGAGGTGGTGAAAAAACTCGCTGCATTTCAGGTCTGATTGTTGGCTTTCTCCTCACCCTGGGAAACTGGACGTTCTTGGCAATGCTGCTGACCTTCTTTTTATCATCGTCGAAGGCCACACGTTTTAGAAGCAAACAGAAGCAAAGGTTTGAGGACGATTTTAAGGAAGGTAAGTGTGTAAGGTACTTGTTTTGAGAATGTCAACTTTTTTATTTCAGTTTATCCTTCCAGTTGGCGGTGGGTTATGTATATGGTGCGACATCGTTTTGCCTGATTTCAAGCTTGGCCATGTTTGACCTTAACTGACCTGAAGGTCACGATCTTAAGCCCGAAAAGTGCGCCCAAATTAGCACATTGAGTTCTACGTATCATGTAAATTTGGTGTTGTTGGCTCTCTTAATTTTTGGTATTTCAGGGCAGATCAAGCTGCCCTACAGACCAAGCTAACCCTCACCAAGACGCATCGCACTTAACCGGCCATCTGTACTCGTGCAAGGACACTGATCTGCTACTGACGGGAAATTCCTTGGGTTTAGCGAAACCACAGAGGGCAATCGCCAGGGCAAGACCCCCGCCGCCAGAGCGCTGAGCCGGTGCTCCTCCCCTTCCGCAGGCGGTCAGCGCAACTGGCGACAGGTGTTCTGCAATGGTGGCGCCGCCGCCCAGGCCGCCTGTCTGTACCTGATCGAGTGCGGCTGCCGCGAGACGCCCGTCGACTTCCACGCCGACTTCCACGGCTCCGTGCTCATGCTGGCCGTGCTCGGTAAGACGGAACTTGGGAGAGAGCCGGGATGGTGCGATGGGACGTGGGAATATCGGTGCGGCCCTGACTGACCCGTCACCGTCGGAAAAAAAGCAACCACCAAGTGTGACGCGCCGGTTGCCCGGCGTGTGCGAAGTTTGGCATCGGGTCGATGGATTAGCGCTGGGAACGGCAGTCTGGAGACCATCCTGGCTAATGGCAAGCGGAAAATCGGGAGCTCTTGTCTGGATCTGCGGACCTCGATGCGAGGTGTACAGGTGGGAATACTATGGGGTGGGTTTCTGAAGTCGGAAGGCATGAGCTCTTCGCTTGACCGTTTTGGAGGCTGGCATATAAGTCCGCAAGGAGCCGTCATGCAACTTATTCTTATGTGAACGCCAAAGTGGTGAATACTGGCACTGCCATCCCAGTGTACCGTTTGCCTGAGTTTCGGAGCGGCTGTGACTGGTGTGGCTTTTGCCTTCGTCATCCACCATGTCGATTGCCGCCGAGAATCAGAAACATAGCCAATAGCAAGTGCCCACATGTTCGTCTTGACCGTAGACTTCGGCGTTAGCTGGTGGATGCCTTGCAACGATGACCCTTGTATGGTAGCTCCAGCGTAACCGGCCGAAACAGACAAATATCTAAGCGATGTGGAGCACAGTTTATGCTGACAGCGGCCGTTTCGAATCTGTTGACTTTTCCGGGAGCTTGCGCACAGTCAAATTCAAGATGGTCTGTCTCTTATCTGCTGAGTGCGACGGCCGGCGTGTCCGACCGTGGCGCGTGTCCGATCGTGACACGTGTCCGACGGTGGCGCGTGTCCGGCCATGACACGTGTCCGACCATGGCACGTATCTGGCCGTGGCGCGTGTCCGACCGTGGCACGTGTCCGGCCGTGGCGCGTGTCCGGCCGTGGCGCGTGTCCGACCGTGGCGCGTATCCGGCCATGGCACGTGTCCGACCGTGGCATGTGTCCGGCCGTGGCGCGTGTCCGACCGTGGTATGTGTCCGGCCATGGCACCTGTCCGACCGTAGCGCATGTCCGGTGGTGGCACGTGTCCGGCCGCGGCGCGCGTCCGACCGTGGCACCTGTCCGACCGTGGCACATGTCCGGCCGTGGCACATGTCCGGCCGTGGCGCGTGTCCGATCGTGACACTTGTCCGACTGTAGCGCATGTCCGGTGGTGGCACGTGTCCGGCCGCGGCGCGCGTCCGGGTGGTGTCGGCGCGCTCCACCGGCCGCCGCTGACTGGACGCCCCCTCGCGGCAGGTTCGCTGGCCGCCGCCAACGCCGACACGTGGGCTTCCGAGCTGGGCACGGTGCTGGCCGGCCGGGACCCGATGCTCATCACCACCCTGAAGCGAGTGCCCACAGGTACGCGCCCCGACCGCGGCCGGGGGTGCACCCGGCGACCGGGCCGGCCGCCGCCTGTCCTCGCTTGCAGCGTGCTGCTCACAGCTCTGTGCTAATGAGCGGAGGCCTACCGTGCAAAAGAAAGCGTGCGGTCCGCAGTGGAGGTCGCGTTATATACGGGCCTGCTGATGCTACTTAGTGCAGTTTTACCATGCGCCTGGCTTTCGCACGGTGTCAACTGGTGCGCCTTACGTTTCTGTTGTTGCTGTACCTCATGCCCTCTTAACCACCGGCCTGTTATTAGTGCCCTCTCTGCATTGTTACCGTGTCGCTTTCCCGACTTTCGCTTACATCAGGCGTGCATGGACAGCACGTTTAGTTTGCATCGGCTGTAGGTTCGGCGCGCTGTGACCATGCGCTGGCCATGCCTTCAGCGTAGTTTCCTCGTGAATCCAGCGCGCGTTGCGCGGCACGTGGAACACCTGCCCTTAAGCCCAGCGTTCAGTTCTCGCACCTGCACCCCGCTCTGGCCTACAGTCGACGCTCCCTCTGGCAGGCACCAACGGCGGTGTGTCGCTGGCCGGCCTGCTGGCCAGCCTGCTGGGCGGCGCGCTGGTGGGCCTGGCGTGCTGGCTGACGCAGCTGGCGGTGCTGGGCGGCTGGACGCTGCACGGCCGGCCGCCGCAGTGGCCGCTGCTCACCGTTGGCCTGCTCTCCGGCCTGTTCGGCAGCCTGCTGGACTCGCTGCTCGGCGCCACGCTGCAGTACTCAGGTCAGCGCGCCGCGGCTGCTGCTGCTGCTGCTGCTGCGGCTGCTGCTGGTGCGGTGGAGTCAGCGCTGACGTCACGTGCGCCGGCGGCCGCGGCAGAGGTCAATGGTTAATTAACGCTTGGCTCGGACCAAAGCTCAGATGTCGTTGTAGTGCGCGGGTCGAGGCCAGTCTGTGGTACTGGGGTCGGCAGGTGTGGTGGCGTAGTGTTCAGGCCTGGTCCGCAGGTGTGACGTGGGACGGGTCAGGCCAGGTCAGGTCAGCGGTCGAGGTGTATGCAGTACTCAGTGCCGAGTGACGCGGCTGAGTAGCGGTGCGTTAGGCCAGGCGCCTGGCCGCAGTTGAGACCCGCGTCCCATCACTGCCCACCCTGCTCAGGTGTGACGGAGGAGGGCGTGGTGGTGGAGCGGCCGGGGCCGGGTGTGCGTCACATCTGCGGCCGACCTGTCATCGACAACCACTCCGTCAACCTGCTGATGACCATCGCCACCGGCTGCGTGGCCCCCGTCATCGGCTACTGGATCTGGCCGGCCGGTCGCTGACCCCATCACCAGGGGACGCCATTTGGCACTGGCGCTAGGTCGTAAGCGCCTGTCGACCGGAGGATGATACTATGCTACAGGCTGGGGCATCGGCTAAGGATTTTTTGTAGAGCACGATGTAGCTTGCTTTCTAGCAACTGGTATTCTGGTGGGTCCGACGGACTCGGCAGTTAAGTTTGCGTGTTGGCGAATTGTGGGTCGTCACAGCTGTAGTTAGGGCCGCCGTTGTCATAGTAACGTCTTCCATTGTGCCGCTTCCAGTCTGCCGGCAGCATTGTACGTACTGTGGAGGATCGCTGACGCTGGGCTACAGCGTTGCAGTCACTTGTCTTTTGTTGGGAGGGGCATCTACTCGTGCCGAACCCATGTGGCTCAAAATATATTGTCTAGCAGCTGGAATGATATTATGTGCTCCAAACTTGACTAGGCGAATCATCCTCCTGCATGCGTAATTATTTGCGTTCAAGACCTTGCGCGCCAATGTACTGTGCCGTTCTTTACGAGAACGTGTCAATTTACGTATGTTGTTAAGTGCATTTTGCGAGGAACATTATACATTAAGATAAGACAATACTGCTAGCCTTATTCCATTTAGAGTAACCAGGAGAAAGGAGAGATAAATGTATTGATATTTTGGCTACATGGCTTTATCAAAACCAATATGACCAGGAAATTCCAAATCTGAAATTGCTGACCCCACTCGATTTTTTCTTTGTTAATACAGCGAACCACAGTTTTCACAAGTCACCAACATTCAGAGGATTAAACAAGGATCAATTTCCAGACACGAATATGCTATAGTGGATATCCAACTAAGCATTAAAATGCATTAAGATGCATGTGTCTTTCCTTGAATGCGTTATTTCTTGAATTTGCGTATATGTACACGTATTTTTACGTTTCTGATATTTTGTGGGGTATATACTGTATCATACACAGTATATGCTGACAATGCATATACAGTATAAGCTGGCAATGGCCACTGTTTAATCCCCTGCGTGTTGGTGACTTGTAGAAACTGTGACTCGCTGTTTAAACAAACCTGAAAAATCGAGTGGGGCTGACAAGCAATTTAAACCTTTGAATTCACCACTCACATTTGGTTCGATAAAGGCAGGTGGCTGAAACGTCATTGCGTTTATCTCTCCTTTCTGGCTATTCCAAGAGGAATAAGGCTAACACTAGCGTCTTATCTATAGGGTGCCAATTTATTGCACTGGTTTATGTGCAAACTCAGGTCGTGACTGCTGTTGCTTCGGGTGCACCGGGTGTATCGTGGCACGGATGCTGCATGTGTTTGTGTTCCTTGCACCGGCATGTCCACGCTCCCACTTGTGTTTCACTGTACCGGGATGCGCGACCCCCTGAGTGTCGGGGGCACGGCACGCTCCCCTCGGGCCGCGACACCGGGTCCAGGTGTTAATCCTCCCAGGTGGCGTGGTTGGCCGTTTGTGTCTACCGTCCGCCACAAGCGGTACGTTTACTTTTTATTAGCAGCGTGTGTGGTGATCAATCCGTTGACGGTTTTCCCATAGTGCAGCTCGCCAGCGGCAAGCAATACACGTTTCGCTTCTGACTGTGGTGCAGGATGATGGGTCGCAGTTGCGTGCGTCTAACAAAGGACGTTATGGAGCTGCCTGTGCTGACACTTTTGTAATGAAGATCAATCCGTTTGAAATCCGTCTGAAATCAATCCGTTGACGGTTTTCCAAAGCGCAGCTCGCCAGCGGCAAGCAATACACGTTTCGCTTCTGACTTTGGTGCAGGATGATGGGTCGCAGTTGCGTACGTCTGACAAAGGATGTTATCGAGCTGCCTGTGCTGAAACTTTAAATGAAGAACAGCTAGTTCTCAGTTCGCACACAATCGTCCACTGACGCACGAACACACGCATGCACGAGGAGCGTATCGAAACCAATGCACACCGGCCCTGCTTTCCAGGCGGCCTATCAGATTTCTGGCTGTTTGAAAAGCTGAAAGACAACCTCCGTGGATGTCGCCTCTCGTCCAGGACAGTGCTTGGAACCGTCATGTCTTTGTGGTAAAAAAGATACTGCTGAGGGAGCGTTCCTACAGAGCCATCACAGCTGCAGGAAAGGCTGGGAATGGTGTGTGGAGGGAAAGGGAGACAAAGGTTGAAAAATCAGTGAAGTTCCCCTTCTCCTGCATCAACACATGCGTTTTGTTTTAGAACAGAATGGTTACCTTTTTAACTCCACTTTGTAGATGTTGAGTGAGCTTGTGTCTTGTGAGCCGCTGTTAAGTTTTAACTTCATCATCTTGGCGGTCCATCACAAGGTCAAATAGGAGTTAGAATTTGTTTTGTATTTCCTCATATACAGATGGACACGCACATTTTAAGGACGCTTGTCTTTGAATAAATTATTTGCTAAACAGACACGTGGTAATTTAAATGGCTATGTCACGTCTTCCTCATTAAGCAGGAATGCCATCTTGGACCTAAGATGTCACATTTACTGTCAGTTGTGTCCAAGAATGCGTGGTGTGCTGCAAACCGTTTAAGCCCGCCACTGCATTGCGTAAAGGCACGGTAATGTCATAACACCAAGAAACTACAACACTGATGTCTTGGTGAAATTCTACTGACCACAAACATCCCACTTCAAAATTGTTCAAGGGAAATGTTTGAAGGTTGGTCCCTGCCAGTCCGGCAAGCAGTTCACGGAACACTTGCTGAAAGCCATTCCTCTACGTGGTACAGGATCATAGAAAGCTTATAAACTTAAACAAAACGAGTAAATGCACATGTCGACTCATATTGCAATGCTTCTGTATGATCCACCAAATGTGTCAATGCCTAGACAAGATGAGAGGGTTCTAATTTTTGGATTTCGACCTCGGAATTACTTATACACGAAATGTTTCCAGGTGCGCAATGCACAGAGAAGATACGCAACCGCGTATGGTCGTATCTATTTGCGTTCTACAGCTACCGCAAAAACACGACGGTGGAAGTGGTGATGACACGCGATGGACATTGACGAGAGCGCGTGGAAAAGCAGCTGTACCTGGAGAAATAAATATATTGCGTCGAAGTACGCACATTGTAATTCAATTTTAGTTCCACCTTTCTCTTAAAAAACAATGCCTTATGTTCATAGGTTGCATGCACGTGACGCTCCAATCATCCATCACCTCATCATCCGACTTTAAACTCCAGGCATGCGGAAGACAAAAACATCGAATGTACTCGAGCAGTATGGGGAAAGGTCCCCGAGCTGTCTTATGGAATACTAATAGCATCGCACTAGCATTCTGTAACAATGTAATCCTACCGATGAGAGATAACTTTTTATGACAGCAATCGAGAACAGGGTCCCCTCAGTAACTATCTGTGCCGAGAATACATATTCTCCTACAAGAGATTGTCAAAATATGGGGAGTATCCCCGCCTCTCCGACGATAGAGGGGAACACGACCTCCCCGTCGCTCCGGTGGCGCCGTCTCTGCCCGGACGCGTTAAACGTATTCATCATTGGCTACCGGTACACTATCGTGCACACGTTCAAGGTTGACACCCTTGGGGTGAGGGTTGGATGGAGTGATTGACTGTACGGGCCCGTACGGCCTTTGTTCAGCATTTGTGTATGTCTTCAGTCGAATGCTCTGTTCTGAAATTATTATGTCTGCATCTTTGAGCCTCCCCTGTTCTTGTTTTACACTGGTGTCGTCAAGAATCACGACTGTTTTGCCTCAGTTGTTTGTTGCTTGTTGTTTTGTAACACCGCCGAACCCTGAATAACGGCGGTTTTCATTTTACTAAGCTAGAACATTTAGAGCAGCCCAGCAGCACCAAATACTGAACGTGCAAAACTTAATGAATATCAGTGACGAGAAATAAATATTGTGAAATAGCAACGTGGTATGTTGCTGTTTCAAATTTAGGCAGTTGCAGATACATTAGCTTACGTGGTTACTCCGCAAAAGCGATGCAATATCTGGACGATTTTAGTTTTGCCTAGCTTCGTTTTTGACATAAAATTTCGCAAAAAAGCTTACAGGCTAATAGGCCAACGTGTCAAAACAATACACCCACACAGCTTACTCCATGAATTATTATTTCCATGAATGAACGTGTTTGGGTAACTTATGCTTATTCTTATTAACTTATTATAACTAACTTATTAATTCGACACTTCGATATGCTGCATAATGAAAACGTGCTAGATCAGGCGCAAACTTTATTCGTTTCCTTGCCTAAGCTCCGCGAAAATGTGCCGGCGTCCAATGGGGTCCAGCAGCTGGCTGATGATGGACATTATTTGTTTTCACAAATGACACATTGTTGGCAGCATAAATGCAGAAAAATGGCGTTTGCCCGACAGGACTACGGAAGACTGATACATGATTGTTATGTATCAATGTGTCTGTGTTGATGGATGACGTTGAGAGAACCAATTTATAAAGAAACAGAGGCACCTTTCTTAGCTGCTTTTGCAATGATTAATTCAGGAAATACAGATATCACGCAAGATGAAAGTGATTATCACATGTTTATTATGTCTGGTTATATATAAACATATGTATGTATATATGTTGTGCGTATGTCTGCGTGCGTGCACAAGTGTAAGAAAAGTAAACTGGGGCAGAGGAAAAATTAACCCTGCGTATGAGTGAGTCAGTTAAAGCGTAGATTTGTGGGGCACAGATACACTCGGCTGCTCATTTGAAGTTGAACACAGATCTGGGCTCTGGCGCTGTATGCTTTGCTGGTCAGAATTGGGACATCCTGCAACAAAAACAAGGCGCACAGTCCCGTAGCAATCGTACTGTACATTACTGGACGCAATGTAACACTTGCTTGGGGTCGTTATTCATGTCCTAAAAACTAGGGATGTCATCATCTCTGTAGAGATGCGGGAGATGTGGGAGCCTGAAAGCGATTGCGCCGAGTGAATCGCCACGCTGCTGTCACATCCCTGCGACCAAGAGCCGCGTGTTGTCTGTGATGCGCTGCCTGTATCAAGAACCAGGCGCCGTCGGGGTGTTTACGTTAATGCTGGGATGGTGCTCGTTTGACCCGTGCCAGCCACCCGGCCAGAGAGTTTCTCTGCGAGCCACACGTTCTTCCCAAACGCCACGCGTCTTCGTATCTGCCTGTAGAGAAGTAGCCAGCTCCCCAGCCACCATGAAGCGGACTATTAGCACCAGCAGGTCGGCCGCACCTCAGTTCCCGTACAAGTAAGACTGTTTGTTTATTTGGCATGCGGTCAGCTCCACAAAATGTCTCTTTTGTGTACTGGAGCATGGGCACAGGTCAGTGCGCACAGGTGCAGTTCCTTCGCACTGGTGAAGGAGGCGGACGTCCCTGTCCCAGGTCATGTTTAACATCTGAGATGAGCACGCCGGCAGCCGAGGTTCAGTGACGCTCGCCACTGCCTCAGCAATCAACCACGAAGCCTGACATCAAAACCCCATATTTATTTTCGTGCATGCTGTGTCTCTCCCCCTTTTCCCTCGCACTGCCAAAGACCTGCTGTTGTGTCAGTCCTACATTAACAAATTATGAGCGGCCTGAACCTGAGCAGAACAGGCTTTCTATATCTGTAGTGGTGTGGTCTGGCGAGTTGGAACGGCGTTCTGTATCTGAAGTTCTGTGGTCTGGTGAATTGGTACGGCGTTCTTCATCCGTAGTTCCGTGGTCTGGCGAATTGGAACGGCGTTCTATATCTGTAGTGCTGTGGTCGGGTGAATTAAAACTAAGCTTTTGGCCTGAGGTCACGCAAGGCAAGGCTGCGGTGCAGCTGATACAACCTGGGCCGTATCGGCAGTAACCGGGCCATGTTCCGCGGAGTGAAGTTCGTCTTCGTCGAGAGTCTCGACTCCATATGGTTAGGCATAAACATAATGAATACCCCGTCGGCCGGTGCGACCTCGCAGCAATATCCTGATAACATACGTCACGTCACTGAGTTGTGGACAGCACTGACTGTGACGCCGGAACAAACTGATGTCTGTGCTCACTGGCTCGCGAGATGTTGTTTCACGTTTCCTTGGCTGATTGGTGAATAAATCAGTAAGACAAGACTTGGCCAAGTTTGTCGAACATACCTTGGAATGTAATTCGAAGCTTAGATTAACACTCGGTTTGAGCTGAGCACACGAAGGCATCTCGTCACGGTGACTCGTTGCCTTTGATGCTAATATTTCTGTTAAAAAATGTCATATGGCCCGCGATGATATGGTGTCATCAGCTAGTTAATCGTAAGGATGAATGTTACGTGACGTTTCTAAACAATGATTCCTGAAAGAAAAACCACAGGATCACGAGTCAGTATTGTGTTCAATCAATCAATATTGTGCGAGATACGATAACGTATTAAACAATGACGTAACGAGGGGTATATTTCCTAAACAGAGAAATGGTATTGTCTAGCGCAGTCTTGTAGAAATTAAAAGCATACCAACAGCTATAAGTGAGCTTGCTTCGCCATATCTGATGCTTACTTTAATACCTTCAAACGTGAAAGGCTTCCTTTAAGGAGTGGTTGGTAACTCATGCTTATTTCGAATGAATTGATAGCAAGGGCCGCAACAGATATTTTGCTATGAACCCCTTAAAGGTTAGAACAGGTCACTGACCTTAAATGACCCAGGTCAACTTTTTGCTTTAGGAGCCTACTGCCTTAGCGTATTTATTACCGCTTATCGAATTTGGCAAAATCAAAGCAACTTGGTAGGTTTCTGGTCATTATAACCTACTTATGGTTAAACAAGGCCACGGACCCGAAATGAAAATCAGTGACCTTTTGCTTCAAACAGGCATCTAGGTCCAAGGCGGTTGTATGAGGAGGTCTGGGGACACTTTGGACAGTAAACTTGAAGGTAAATTTGTTTGACTATTTGACTCAGAGGTCATGATCTATGAACCTAAAACTTGGCCTGAAATTTTGACACAGTTGCGTTCCCGCAGAGCCACCCTGTCAATCCAGTGTATCGAGCTCTCATAATCTTTGATACATCAGTGGGAGTCAAGCTGAACCGCCCCCGCCGGGGCGATTAGTGTTCACCCGGCCATCCAGCGATGTGGTAAGCATTCTCAAGACTCCCGAATGAATGACAACCACGCCTGGGCGTGCCGTCAAGCTGTCCAAGGCCCCGCGCCCCTGAAACACATTGGCTATGCTCCCCCCCCCCCCTCCACCCCCTCCTTTCCCCATGCCCGGACGGCCCCTTTTCTTTGCGGTTCCACCGCGCGGCGGCTGCCCGTCTTGTGACAGCTGGCGGGGTCACGTGACGCTCCGCGGGCGTGTTTATCGGCCAGCTGAGCCGACCTTGGCGTCTGGCCGGGCGGCCGGCCGGGGGAGGGGGAGGATGGGGAGGGGCCATGTGACAGGACGCGGGCCCCGGCCGGCCGCCGGCCGGCCCTGTTCGCCGCCGTCTGCCGTAGCCGCGCGTGCGAGGACCGCAGTCGGCTGCCAGCGTACCCCCACACGACCGATATAGGCGGGCAGGCGTCACGCGCGGCCGGCAGCGCCATGAAGAGGACCATCTACACACCCAAGGCAGCGCCAGCCATTGGCCCGTACAGGTAGGCCGGCACCGCAGGCCGCCCTGCGCAGTTGGCGGATTTAGGCTCGCTTCTCAGTCGCCACAGATTACCGCTCTTGGCCGAAGCGTTCACTGATCAGTTGGCACCGCGTCGACCGAGTGGCAGATATACAGCCACGAAAGGTACCACTGAGGCGGTTAATATCTGAATTTCTCGGTTGTGGGGGGGGGGGGGGAGACGTCATATTCATGGTCAATTTCTACACGTCAGTATGGTTATGAACTACGTCACATTAGTGGATAAGAGAAAAAGTCGGTTTTGACATGCTCAAACCATGAATATTCTTCTATCCCGACCCCGATTATTCTCCCCAGGGTTTCGCCGAGGGGCAGGTGAGCCGAAACGTCAGGCTCATCCTACCTTCAGAATTTTGAAATTGTTCTGACCTTTGGCCTCTTGCTTTCAAGGGTGCAGAGATCATTTTCTATCGGAGGAGCCACTTTTATGGCCCTTTCCAAGGCCTCAAGCATCTTTTGGTCTATGCCGAAAATGAGGTGCCTTAGGTCTGCTAGCGTCGTAGATATAGCTTTCGGCAGAGCTGCCCAATGTATCAAGGCTGGTTGCATTTCACTGCCTTCTGCGCGCAAACCCCGTCCGGCCAAGACTCTGTATTACGCTCGACAGCTAAGCTGTGAGCTTAAAAACAGCAACATAAATTACAGATTTCAACATAGGTTTCCTTCATCATGTCTGTCAAGAATATTTTCAAAACAACTGATGTCACTGTGTACGGCGGTGAATAGGAAGTATGCCACTAAAATCATATTTTAGTTTCTGTGTCTAAATTATGAGTGTTGTGTTGAAACATACCGGGATTCGAGCATCTCACATTGCTGCCCTCTTACGGTGGGGGGTCGGAAACCACCGGCATTCCGCCGACTCATCGACAAACGCTGACCTTGGGGCGGCCAATGAGAATACAGCAAAAGTGGGCGTGTCTGAGTGACATCTGAGATATGCGCCCCTGCACGGCGTCATAAACAAATCCGCCTTCGTTAATATCCTTTGAAGAGGACGCAAAATCCGAATGGCACGGAGCACAATTTTGATGTCTTGTGCATCAGGCACCTTGATGTCTTGTGTCTCATCGGGGTCTATTTGAGCCGCACTGTGCGTGCGATACGGGTCTAACGTGGGTGAAGCAAGCAATGTTCCCGTGGCGGTAAACGTTAGTCTGCTATAATGTGCCCATCGGTGGTTGATGAACAGGGCGAATACATGGAGGTGGATATTTGGGCGATGGTCCCTTGCGAGACGACCCGGAAAATCTAAGCTTTCCATGCCTCCGACCACCGCAACTCCTGGCCCTATCATACTTGCTGGTCTTTTCCGGAACCCGTACCGTTCAAGACCCCATGATGACGAAAGAAATCGATCTTAGTAGTTGGCAGAACAGAAATGCTTGGTCCTACGGGGGCGCATTCTTCTCGGTCCTACTTACTAGAAAACGTATTTGCGATGCGCGGAGTACTTGTTGCACATAAATGTCGACATTTTTCGTGTTACTCCCCACCATAACAGTCATATGCTTCAACGCACGTCCTCAAGGTAAAGAAGAAAAACATCGCGATGCTTTGTACCTGTTGCTCCAAAGAATGTCCTTGTGGTTGCCCCTGTCTGGAACCTTGAAGGCACGCCTGCTTCGCGAGTATCCGGTGCGCCGGCCTGATTCATCATGTTCACCAAATATTTAACAATATTTGTTGCCCTGGTGGAATCCACCTCATTTCCGCCCTCCAGTCGCTGGAACATCCAATTTTAAATGTCCAGAAGGCTATTCCTATCGCAGCACAGATTCAAAGTCAAGATAACAGGACTGGTTACCAGGGTCCTGGGATTCGGGCTTACAGCTCTGGACTCTGCGCTGATGAATAGAAAAGCTCGTACCCTGATTCAGACCAAAGAACATCGGGCTAGGACTTAGGGTTCTAGGACTCAAACTTGAGCCGTAAGATTCAGACTGACTCACGTTCAGAATAGCCAGGCCCGTAGCAACTGGCTGCATGTGTTGCTACTGGCTGCATGCGGGTGTAGTGCACGCACCCAGTGGCTACACCGGGTGCGTACCAGTGGCGTGCATTGGGCCGGTGCCCCGGGTCTAGCGTGTCTAACGGGGGATCCCGGGATCTGGAGTGCATCCCCAGCCGCATTCAGTGCTCCCTTAAACAAACGGCGGGGGATTTCACGACTGGATGCAATTCTTCCCCGCGGTTAGATCTGCGACAATTGTAACGGAAAAGCGTTGGAGTCAGCACTTGACTCATACCAGGTTTGTTACCGATCTCAAACCACGTATCAGTTGTCGGGGTTGCGTTTTGAGGCCTAATTCTTCGTGTGGACAGAGGCTTCTTTTCAACTCTAAGTGTCTCCACATTTCCCGAACAACCAAGCGATATTAGAGCGGATAGATTTAAGGAGACAACTATCGGATGTTCCATGTTATGCACGTGCATTGGGATTACGATCGACGTATTTTAAGGGCGAAGTTTCTTTATGAACTCTGAGACACTTTTCGGGCCACTTTTACTTCTTTTTGTCTAGATTTTCGACAGTTCTGAATACGGGTGCTCGACAACAGGAAAATGAACGGACTGGACAAACCCACAGGCACCTACATGGAACGGGCAGCGGCTTGGGCTTGTATGAATTTTTTGGAAAATTATATAAGTGGGCACGAGTATGGATAAGACTTTTACGAAATATTAGGCGGATGTCTCAAATAAATATAATGCGATCTGACTGCTTGCGCTTCTTTTCCTCATTATTAGGTTCATGCATCTCACTTTTGCAATTATTAATGCAAAACAGGAAGTTTGAGCCTGGACTCGACGAAATATCTATTTCGTTTTTAAGGTTTGGTCTAAACTCTTTGAATAGACTGATTTTTGGGATCAGTGTTCGCGCTAAGCGGTGCTTGTTGCGTGACGACTGAGACCACCGTCCGATCGTAGAATTCCGGGTCAATGTCATGATTTTTACGGCGAAAACTTAACCGTCTCCCGTTACTCGGCACGATCCGTCTATGGCCACCTGAACTTCAGCGCGGCTGCTGCTTCGTGCCGCGGAGCATCTCAGCCAGGGGCAAATGGCAAAAAAATAAAGGGACTCGAACTCAGCCCACCACGGATTGGTGAATCGGAGGATGGACGCACAAACCAACTGAGATGTCGGGGCGCACGGAAGCTTCTCTAAGACATTTTTGTTGCTTAGAGCTTAAGTACTGTAACGTGGCGAATGGATGAGTAACGTGTAGATAAGACTGATTATGGAAGGGCAACAGGTAAGTGTGCGCTAGAGGACTTCATGGGTTGGTTTAACCCAATGGTAACTATGTGATGTGGGTAACAGGGTGGATTGATACACATTTTGGTCAAGCTATTTTTCTGATATGGGTGAGACGTTTACGAAATGTCTTTTGGATTCTGCAAGAAACACTTCGCAGTGTTGCTGCTGGCGCTTTATCAAGACATGATTAGCTTAATTCGTACCTTCTTTGCAATTATGTACGCATCAGCGTAAGGATGAATTCAAACGTTTCTTCTTACATTTTTCATAATGTAAAATGAAATGCCTGGGAAAATGCAAACGAGTGGGTAACGGGCGGTCATAACTACATGGACGGCTGGTTGAGAGCAAGGTATGAGCATGCTTAACGAATGGGTAACGAGAGGATCGGGGTAAGGAAGTCTCACCCGTGAAGGTATCTATTGCGGGCACAGCCGCAGGGGTAGCTGATGGATTTGGTGAGGAAAATCTTACGCGATAAGTTCTTTGTTCTCCAAGTCCCTGGGCAGTGCTCCCTTCCTATTTCATTAAAATTTTCCCGCGGTTTCGGCCACTCGTCGAGCATACTTTTTTTATTAAAATTGATCTAGCTTTGGAAATGTCAAATTTCAAGCCTCTGTACTTAAAAGCACACTCGTGCGGTATGCGTGCGGTAGCAAAGCCTCGCTTAACCTGTGGAACATGTAATGCAATGTTTCCGTCTGATGCACGTCATCACAAAACTTGCAACCGTGGTGTACTAAATTCACAAAACATAGTCCCGGAGATAATCCTGCAAGCGAAACGAGGTTCAATCCGGAATAGGAATCAAATCTGCAGAGACGGCGGAACCCGCAGAGACCAGGACTTACCAGTGGAAAGTTCAGGAGAGAATGGCTTAAGGCAAACGTGCCGTGTTCTGTCGTGACATGACTTAACTTGACCTTGAAAAATGTTGGCGTAGCTAGGCATCAACAGTTGCATAGCTATCAAATGGAGTATTGATTAGGACACCCAGTGTCTGCGCAATCGTTTTGCATGTACTCGCGCATGAAAGCGTCATTTTGCAGGACATTTAGAATTTTACTAACTAGCCGGCGCATATCAATGAATGGGTATGAAAGGATGGCATATAACTCATCCATACGGTACTGCCACCTGCATACAGTAAATAGAGTAGATGTTCACTTATTTAGAAGCAAATTTGTCCGATTTTAAGCGTTTTTTTGTGTGTGGAAAAAGACAGTTTGTTAGCTCGTAGCGCGACCTCCCACCAAATTTTTAATTCGCTGATTTTAATGAAAAGACCTTGAGAAGCAATAAGATAACTGGAAAAGTCGCCACTACCTATGAACTTTCACGCTTTGTGCAAAGTGGGTGCTTCCATCCATTTCATGAATCGGTCAGTAGCCAACGCACATTCCGACACAGAAGGTTGTCCGTACAAAAAAGTTCATAAAGCGACAGTTAGCAATTTGATAAGGTGTCATCGTTTGGTCATTTTGTTGTTTTGGGCTGTCATTTCCACGATGCTCGCATGCGCCATGCAGCATTCTTAGGTCAAGGCATTTACAACGTTTTTTCCCGCGTATTTTGTAACGAATTTGTATGTACTCTTCATCCCGTCCGTTCCCAAAGGTAATCCAGCTAGTTTCAGAGGCTAAAAATTCGTTCAGTGCAGCGTTGGTTAAACTCGTTGCAGCCAGAACAAAATTAATTATACTTCACAAGGTGTCCACTTTTTTGTTGGTTTTCTGGTGTGCCCCCTGGGAGTTTGGTCTGGATACGCGCCTGATAATGGCCGGTGGGCTCGGACTTGCACTCGTCGTATCAAAGGACGCGGACTTTGGCGTGGGACCTAAACACATTCACAACGCAAACGTCGTCAGCAAGTGGTTGCATGGGTACCGCAGAAGATGGTTGATAATGAGGCCCGGCGGAAAGCTTGCCGTAACGTACGTGCTTTTTGATGTGGAGCTTTCTGTTTTCGCATGTAAGCTTTGCCGAAAATTGTCTCTGCCCCTCTGAAGTTAAGGTTAATTTCAGGGGTCGCAATTCCAAAACCAGCAGTCGGGAGCTGATGTCAGTCGCGTTCCGTGTGGTTAGTTGTATGTATCAGCAGATCCTATGTAAGTGCGATTGCGATTTTGCCCCTTGATTGTCAATGTAGTTCGTTTCAAGCGTACACAGTAGAATGAAAAAACGTGATTTTGTTAGGAATCTTGAGATTCTCTCGTCCGCTCATCCCTTCTTAATAAATGTCCAAAGTCATCGGAGTATCAGCAAAGACGTTACGGTCGATAGCTCTCACGGAAGGTTTTTATATCAAATTTTTCAGTGCGTTCTAATGTGTTCACGTTCGAAGTTTTATCTTCAGTCTCTACGTCGCCTTATTTTCTTGTACGCCGTTTAATGTATTTCACTGCCTTAGGCCGAACCGCCGTCGCACCACCCCGTCCCCAGCAGCGGGCGGCGCTGATGAACGATGGTAGATACAGAACCCTTCCGTCCTGCTTCCGCCGCCAGGCGGTGGTGGTGAATGAGGGCAAATACCGAACATCTCTGTCCTGCGTCCGGAGCCAGGCGGTGCTGGTGAACGAGGCCAGATGCCGAGCACGTCTGTCCTGCGTCTGGAGCCAGGCGGAGCTGGTAAACGAGGTGTAGATACTGAACATCTTTTGTCCTGCGTCCGGAGCCAGGCGGTGCTGATGAACGAGGGGTAGACACCGAACATCTCTGTCCTGCGTTCGGAGCCAGGCGGTGCTGGTGAACGAGGGACAGATACCGAACATCTTTGTCCCGCGTCCGGAGCCAGGTGGTGTTGGTGAACGAGGGCAGATACCGGACATATCTGTTCCGCGTCCGGAGCCAGGTGGTGTTGGTGAACGAGGACAGATACGGGACATATCTGTTCCGCGTCCGCAGCCAAGCGGTGCTGGTGAACGACACGCTGTACGTGTCCGGCCAGCTGGGGATCGATGCCACCTCCGGAGAACTGTGCCAAGGCGTGGAGGCGCAGACGCGCCAGGCGCTGGAGAACATGGGCCACATCCTGCAGGAGGCCGGCATGACACACGCGGACGGTGAGGATGGCAGACCGGCACGCGGACGGTGAGGGTGCCCGGTGAGGGTGGCAGGCCGGCACGCGGACGGTGAGGGATGGCAGACCGGCACGCGGACGGTGAGGGCGGCAGACCGGCACGCGGACGGCGAGGGTGGCAGACCGGCACACGGAAGGTGAGGGTGGGAGACCGGCACGCGGACGGTGAGGGCGGCAGACCGGCACACGGACGGTGAGGGCGGCAGGCCGGCACGCGGGCGGTGAGGGTGGCAGACCGGCACGCGGACGGTGAGGGTGCCCGGTGAGGGTGGCAGGCCGGCACGCGGACGGTGAGGGTGGTAGACCGGCACGCGGACGGTGAGGGTGGCAGACCGGCACGCGGACGGTGAGGGCGGCAGGCCGGCACGCGGACGGTGAGGGATGGCAGACCGGCACGCGGACGGTGAGGGCGGCAGACCGGCACGCGGACGGCGAGGGTGGCAGACCGGCACGCGGACGGTGAGGACCGGCACGCGGACGGTGAGGACCGGCACGCGGACGGTGAGGGCGGCAGGCCGGCACGCGGACGGTGAGGGTGGCAGACCGGCACGCGGACGGTGAGGGTGCCCGGTGAGGGTGGCAGGCCGGCACGCGGACGGTGAGGGTGGCAGACCGGCACGCGGACGGTGAGGGTGGCAGACCGGCACGCGGACGGTGAAGGTGGCAGACCGGCACACGAACGGTGAGGGTGGCAGACCGGCACGCGGACGGTGAGGGCGGCAGATCGGCACACGGGCGGTGAGGGTGGGAGACCGGCACGCGGACGGTGAGGGCGGCAGACCGGCACACGGACGGTGAAGGTGGCAGACCGGCACGCGGACGGTGAGGGTGGCAGACCGGCACGCGGACGGTGAGGGGTAACATACCGGCACGCGGACGGTGAGAGTGGCAGACCGGCACGCGGACAGTGATAAAATATGTTGAGTCCACGTTTCCTTCGAATGAACCAATTGCACACGTTTATGTCTGCTCTTCATCGCACTCTCTCTTCTCCACCCGTCCTCCTTTCATTGCGTTTTATTGGTTCGATATTTTGATGAAATTATCCGTCCAAATCTGTTTAAATTTGTCCAAATGCAAATATGCACAGTAAATTGATTTTTGCTAATGAGGGGCTCGATGTAACCTTCATACTTACGACTGCGCGTACTACCCTCAGTGTCGCCACCTTGTTTTTATAGCTTAACGCCAGAACGGATCATTCCGATGCATTCAACAATTGCATGTATTTTACATTGTTGTCCTACCCAGCCTGCCCTGGATGTCGGCGACATTGCAGCGCGCGCCCATCTGATCGACGCCTTTCTTTGTTCCAGTCGTTAAAGCGACGGTTCTTCTTCTCGCCGACATGAACGACTTCTCCAAAGTCAACGAAGTCTACAAGACATGTAAGCGGACCGGAGGCGGCTGCTGATACCATTCCTCCTCGATCGTGTTTATAAAACCGCCCTGCCCTCCCCCTTCCCCCCCCCCCCCCCCGGTCCGCCGGCCCTGTCCGCCGCCCCGCTGCTCTCCGGCGCCGCAGTACCACGCGTTGCGTCATCGACTCTCGCCGACGCGGCGGTCCCCACATGAGTCGGCGAGATCGGACCGGCGAAACCATGGCCGGCTCTGACAGCCGGCACGTGACGTCATACCCGGCGGTCTGCCGAGTCCCTGACGGGGGGGGGGGGGGACCGGGGCAAGCATAGCGTTGCCACACTGCACAGGCGCAGGGAGTTCATTCATACCCGAGCACTGCAGGCACTCGATTCGCTGACAGGTGGCAGGCGCATGGAAGACAGGGCAATGCACTCATTGTGGCGAGGGGGGAACCATGGACACGGGCGGACACTGCTGTGGAGCCGATCTGGAATAGGGCTGCGTGCAGTTTTTGTTTGTTTGCTTCTCATAACACAAAATGCCTGGCATGAGACCTCACTTTGCGGAACAGGTGAGACCGGAAGAGCCCGGTTCCGTTGGTAGCTGGGAATCTCAAGTAAGCAATGCCATGTCAATAACAATGGCAAGCAACGGCGCCGACACTGCTGGTTGGGTGCCGTATGCATCAGTAGCTAGGCGGGCGGCAGGCGTGCCGTGCGGGCGCGTGCCGTGGGCTCAGGCGTGAGGCACGTCACCTGTTGTGCGGCCTCGCGACAGTGCTCCGCCCAGCGATATGTCAGTGATTGTGATATTATTTTCCAGTTTTCACCAGTGATTTTCCGGCCCGGGCGGCCTACCAAGTGGCAGCACTGCCTAAGGTGAGCTCAGTGGCCTGATTCACGCTATTTTGCGGCATATGTGTCGAGAATGTATCCGCCGTAATGACATCACGTCTGCAGGACATGCATTTGTGCATAAACCTATGCGGCTATTTATTCATAAAATGTTAACCATGTGGCTCTTCCGATTTTCCAGGTAATTACGTAATCTCTGCCGCCAAATATCGGGCAGTACAAAATGGCGGCGCAGTTATAATTTTGGAAAAAGGCAGTTAATCTGCACGATGTAATGATCCGACAGCAGCCAGATTAGCGCATGGAAAAGCTTGGCCAATTGTACCCTTTTGACATCTGGCGGCAACTGATCCCATACACCAGTGCCTCAGCGCACGAGGGGTCTGCGGCGAGCTCGGTACGGACACGTGTAGTTTGTGGCAGCAGACTTGCAGGGTCTCGCGTGGTCCTGCCGCACACGTCAGATCGCGGTATCACAAGACTGCAAACTATCCGGAGCTCTAGGCGACTTATTTTGTGGTGGAGAGCTGATAGACTGCGCTCGGTGAAAAGGTTGTCTACTTAGAACCGCCAGAATACTTGAAGGACGGGATTTACATGTTGTGATCGTTTGATAACTGGTGATTCTGGCACAAAAATATGTTGTTTTTTATTTTTTTGTTTGTGTTTGAAAAATCTAACGACTCCACATGTATATATATATATATATATATATATATATATATATATATATATATATATATATATATATTACAACAGCGCTTTACAGAGGCAGATGCCTGATGTTCCAAACTTAGGTTGGAATTCACAGTGACGTAAGAAACTTGACGGAAGCCAAAAGTTTCGTTTTTACTGGTCCAAATGGAACGTAAAAATTTTGACTTGGTTGCAATGGAGGTGATTTTACCAGTGTGAATCAGTTTTACGAGAGCTAATTTTGAGGACTTTTGTTGTTAATTAGTTTCTGGCAATGTCAACATCGTCTCCACCCTAACACCAAGACCGTCAACGTTGACTGGAGTATCTGCGTCGAAAAACCGAGGGTCGTTGGCATGCATGAGTTAACCTCCGTAAATATAAGAAGGCAGGCCGTTAGCACACAGGAAAAAGAATATCAGCAATAAGATACTTCTCTGATCTTTAACGTTCGTAACCGGGATTAGCATTTCACATCCTACGACACGCGAACAGCCCTCAGTCAATCGCGGAAGCAGTGAAAACCAACCCCGTGCCATCCTCCAGGAGCCGGGAATGCTAAGCACTATCAAACGCTGTCAATGTATCCGTCGTTGTCAGCGTGGTAACAAGGCCTCGGTCCGTGTGTCTGGCTTGCCAGCTCACAGTGCATTACATGGCCAACTCCATGGAGTGTTCCGGGCAAAACCATGTTGTACACGGGAAATTTTTTACGTTCCGAAAGGCATGAGACGATTTGGTTACGGACATTTCATTTGCAAAGTCGGACATTGAATGGGGCCGGAATATTCAGGTGCCTCCGGTCGCTGGCTTTAGACAGGGGCGTTACTCCAGCGGTTTTCCAAACGGGTGGTACATTGCCGAGCGCTAGCAAACTTTTGAAGACATGCAAAAGATGAGGCGCATTTGGAGAGGGAGGGGCGGGGGGGGGGGGGGAGAGCGCGTAGTGATGATTCCATATACTAGCTTATGGTCATAAGCTATGGTGACAAAGCGTGTCTGCACCCCGGCGAAGCATTTTAGACTTGGAAGCAAAATGTTATCATTGTTCACTACAGTCACTCAATTTAACTCAATAACGGCGGCATAGTTTGCACGCACATGCATCTTCCAATTGAACTTGATAGTGTATGTCCAGTATGTACCCTACGGACACTGAGAATGGAAGACAACTTCTTCATTTTACTAGAATCTTGACTAAAGCTGATATATACTGATGATTGTTACGGATTGTCTGCCTGAGACTCAGTGACTTCCACCATGCTCAGCTGATACCGTGGGCCAAGGGCTGCCATGTCCGTGAACGGCTGCGTCGCCGTACACTGTGAGGCCCGGTACACGGGCCGCCGTACACTGCGAGGTCCGGTACACGGGCCGCCGTACACTGCGAGGTCCGGTACACGGGCCGCCGTACACTGTGAGGTCCGGTACACGGGCCGCCGTACACTGTGAGGTCCGGTACACGGGCCGCCGTACACTGCAAAGTCCGGTACACGGGCCGCCGTACACTGCGAGGTCCGGTACACGGGGCGCCGTACACTGCGAGGTCCCGCACACGGGCCGCCGTACACTACGAGGTCCCGTGCACGGGCCGCCGTATACAGCGAGGTCCCGTACACGGGCCGCCGTACATTACGAGGCCCCGTACACGGGGCGCTGTATACGCCGAGGTCTCGTATACAGTGAACAGTTGTCCCGCAGACGGCGTCACGACGTTGCCGCGGCGGGGCCGTCACGGTCGTCACGGCGTCTGTATGGGCCGGCGCTGACCATCCATGCACCGTCCACAGGGCGGGATGGTGGAGATCGAGGCGATCGCCTTCAAGTGCTCCGACGGCGACAGCAGGCTCTAGCGCCTGACTGACATCGGCACCCCAGTCCCTGCCGTCGGACCCCGGCCCCCCGTCGGTGCGCCGGCCAAGCCCAGCGTCGATGAGATTCCCGGCCGTGTCGCCCGCCTCCCGCCGGCAGCCTTCGACCGTCGACCGTCGCCGCCGACGCCGCCTGTCGGAGGCAGCCTCTTCACGGCGAGCCGGTCCGCGCCGTGGTAGCTGACGTGGATCGCTGTACGGTATTCTGGGCCGCTCCAGTGTGGCATGTGCCGAGTGCCGACGGATGGAAACCAGTTGCAAGGAGAGGAGGGTAGGGCTGGTGTTGCGTTTATGATCGTACACGGCTTGGAACAGATTTGATCGCGGCTAAACGCTGGATTTGGGGAAAGCTGCAATATGGTGAATAAAGTCAATAAAGGAGACAGTGACTGCTGGCACAACGCTTTTGTGAACGAATGACAGGATATTCCATGGAGACCCGTAACATGCTGCATACAAGAATGCAGGTTCAAGCTCCAAAGAATGATTTGTGAGACCCGGTAAACATCGAGTCGCGTGGCAGTGCACTACTCACTGGAGCCGGAACAGACATGGAATGGTGGAGCGGCGTGGTCTAGGTAACCGTGAAGTTCGGGTGATAATCATGAAATTAGACAAAAACGGAGGCACGATGTTAGGCGTTTTTATGAATAATTGCTGGCCTGAATTTTTTAATAAGAGTTTTTTAAATGTTTACAAATTTTTTAATGATACATCAGCTAACAAAATAATTTTTTCATGAAATTGCATGGATATTCAGTAGCTAAGACACGTTTACGGAACTTGAACTAAGTTTATAACACAAATGACCTGGCTCATAGACATGCGTGCCTTCAGTCCATGTCTTTAGTTCACCTTTAAGTTCTGGGGTTACACCAGGCCTAGCAAACGCGCGGATCGATCGTGGGCGTGGGATGATGTGGCGCGCCGTTATCGTTAACATCGGTGTCGCGTGGAGCAAGGCAGGCTTGGTACACCATTCCAATCAAGGATTACTCGTCATGGGCTTTGGCTAGGTAAGTGTGCTCTGTAAGAAATGCATGTCTGTTAACAGACACACAAACACACACAGGGATGCCACTTTTTAAATCTAAAATGGTTGGGGGGACTCAGCCGATAAGGTCGACGTAACCTACCCGCCCCCCTGGAACTTGACCTCTCCCTGGATTTTGACCACCTCAGTCTGTGTTCCCGATGCCAAAGATTCGGTTGTTTCTTCACATTTGACCGATAAGATATTTATCAACGGACGAATTGCTTCCCATTTCAGATTCATGTGAGACCGTAGCCGTTCATGGAAGGTAGCCCGAAACTTCGTGCAGAACGCCGTTTCTGACACGTGCAAAGTAGAGACAACTGTGCACATGATGCATTTTCCGTGGAGAGGCTACAGAAAAATGTATCAGATGCACTGCCAGGAAGTGCATACATATTAAAGTGAAACTGAACTCATTCGACTACAACAGACGCGCTGCCGAGCTGAAGAACGGAGATGGTAAAGGCTGGTGACCGGACGGGTCGCCCGAACTGCCGTCTTCATAAATTGCTCGATTAGTGCTTTGAGATGAGTTTGAGGTCAGTGTAGACAGGCCATGCGCTCGTAATGTTTCGGCTGAGTAATGGGCTAGGAGTTCGCTGAAAATAACTGACGTTCAGGTGCTGAGGAGGCACTGATTAAACGACAAAAGCAAGCAAGTATTGGTTATATTGAGAGCGCTTCAAATTTTTAACCTGTGTTCGTGGTCAGACTCCTTCGCAAAAATCGATTTCCAACACGCCGATATTTCTTTCACGCTGGATCACTCCACATCAAGTGCGTCGATTTCATTCCTTGACACACTTTTGCCTTCAGTCGGATAGAAGATATGTCACTGAATTGTTCTTTATACCCATTACCGCCAGTATACTGCTTGGAATCCGGCACATCCCATGATTACTAAAAACAGTAGCTTTTAATCGCAAATGTGGAGAGTGGCGTCCGCATCTTATTACCCCTAGTCTGTGATCGTGGTCGTGCTAAAATAAGTTTTTTTTTTCGTGAGTGCGTATACCCGGAGCACCAAGTGAGGTCTGCGGCTTGTGCAGCGCATACTCGATTAAAACGAAAACGGGGGTGTTCATACAGGTTAACTTCCAGAGGCATCTCTCCTTAATGAATTTATGGCATGCGTTAAAATGTACGCAACTGAATGCTGACCGCTAAATTTCCAGGAAGACGCAGGAAAACGCAAAGATCAAGAATGTGCAATATTCTTTTATGGCATGTAAGAAAATGCGCTCGCCTGCGGTGCGCTTACTCAGTCTTCGTTTTGGAGTTGCGCCATTCTCCCAAATTGTTAAATCCTGTGTACGCCCCTGTTTGACAATGCATCAAGTTTGCGATGAATTTGTAGAAAGGTAAGACAAATAAAGTATCTGCAGCCCGTTTCATTACCAGTCTTAATTCGACTGATACTGAATTATGCCCCACCGTATTCCACAGACATCAGATGTTGAAATGCACGACAAATTCACGCTTCATGTCATGCTTAAGAACCGCCGTAATTGTGGAACATACAATTCTGAAAACGTTTGCACACGGGCAGGCGTACAATGGCGTGGCCGTCATATCAATGGATCTTAATTTTGACCCACATGTCCGCAGTCTGGCGTGTGCATCACAACATATCCCACATCATCATGCGTGAAACTTCTCCGTCAATACCCTTGATCGTCTACTGAATGTGGCGGCGCAGTCGCCGGTGCCACCACAACAGCTGCGCACAGAAAACAGCTGCAGCCGTTCGGTGGCACCGACAACAGCTGCAGTCGCTCGGTGGCGCAGACAGCAGCTGCAGTCGCTCGGTGGCACAGACAACAGCTGCAGTCGCTCGGTGGCACAGACAACAGCTGCAGCCGCTCGGTGACACAGACAACAGCTGCAGCGCTCGGTGGCACAGACAACAGCTGCAGTCGCTCGGTGGTACAGACAACAGCTGCAGTCGCTCGGTGGCACAGACAACAGCTGCGGCCGGTCGGTGGCGCAGATAACAGCTGCAGCCGGTCGGTGGCGCAGACAACAGCAGCCGTGTGTGCCACCGAGCCACTTATACACCCTCCCCTCGCCAGAACCCAGAAATCCTCAATGGTCGTATTTGCAGTGCGTTGTGAGCGGATTGCTGCCACGTGGCACAGCAGGAACTCCATCGTTTTGTAACGGGCCCCTGCAGACAGTGTCTTATTTAATGGTAGCCTGCGGGCACATGTGCCGTCGTCAAATTGTTACCTGCATTGCTATTAGGGCCAAATTAAATTGATGAAATTCCTGGCTCGCCACGCTGTCAACTCTGGGCTGCGCAGCAGGTGGTAGTAGTATGCAATGCACTAAAGGCCGCATTTAAATGGTGTCCTACCTTTGGAGCATATTTAAAAAATGTCCAGTAGTGAAACGTCGGAACCAGTTGGTCGAATAATAACATTGAGTGCTGCCACTGCAGCACCGTTAAGAGCGTTAAGCACATTAGGTTATCCAGTTTAATATTTTTCAATCCCGCTGCCGCTTTCAACACTTCGTAAGCTTTGTCACAGTGCTACGCTTCATCCCTGCAGTCGCGACCACCATCATGACAAGTTCCGTGCGGACCTGTGCTGGTGCGGATAAAATAACGCTTGTGAATGGCCCAGCGGGTGGCAATGGCCTGTTCCGAGAATTTGGTTGGTTGGAGTTTGAGCCAGTGCTATGGATCATTTGACGCTCCCATTCCCAAAGCCAAGGTCCGCCTCGTGAACAGCCACTGTGGTAAACGCCATACAAAAGGGGACAATCAAAGCCATAGTACAACGTTTCGCTTAATTCGCGATGTAATAGCTTCAGGTCCGCAAATATTTTTGTCGTGACAGTTTTTCGTGCTTTCGTGGCATTCTTTTTCACGCAAACCTTTTGACACATTAGTGTGCATTACAGAACACACACATTACGGAACATACTCGTTGGAAATGCAAAGAAGATGAAATGCGTTACTTTCAGAGTGGTGAGCACGGAGTCAAATGAGATTTCTGCCGCGGGGGCGGCTATTTCAAAGCGAAATTCTGAGTTATTCTTGACTTTGAAAAACTGCCATCACAGATTAAATCGCACGCCTCTGATCTAGCAACAGGTGGAAAGTACAGAAAAGGTGGGATAACCCCCTTTAGATAACAAACGCGATGAACCGGGGCCAGCGGGTATAGGCAGCTCCAACAAAACAGTTGGCACAATGCTGGATGAGCCCATTGTCAAATGTGCATTGCTGTTTGATAACAGATTACCTGTTTACGGAGCTACCTTTGGTGGTCTTTCTGCCGAGACTGGGGCTGAGGTGAAATAGCCGTCTAAGCAAAACATCGTAGCCAGCTGCATTACAACCCAGGGAGCTTTATCTGCCAAAGGGGCTGCACAGGCTTAAACACTGCCAGCTCACTCCATGCTGCTGCACCGAGAAAGTGGCTCGCAGATAAATTTTGCGCTCCCCTTTGACGCTCAAGCATCCTTATCCTTGAGCACATCATTACAGTCTGTCGCTGGTTCCGGCCATGGTTCTCAGGGACCAAAGGTTGGATCCAAGACCTCGAGAGAATGTGCGGGTAGTGATTTGTATCAATTGATAGTGCATGCATAAATTTCCCATAACATAAAAGCTCTCGTAGTGCATACGTGCTGATTCAGTTCTGTCCATGAGCAGAATGAATATGAAAATGTCAATCTCTTCGCTTTTCACGTGATCCCGATGATGAAACCGCGCTTGAAATCGAAATGCTAATGACGACCTGCATTCCCTTTTCCTCCCCCGTCTGTTGCTTGATATATAATACTTGGTCAGCTAGCAAGGTTTGCGGATCCGTGAGGAGAAGTACACCCACGCGCCGGAGAGCGCCGACCGTGTACATAACAACGGGCAATATTCACAATCGACGCGCTGAGGTTTGCGTGAACGGCCAGCGGTCGGGGCTGGTGACCTGGTGAGTGGACGTCCACCCATGTAGCGCCCGCCGGTTAAACCAGAGATCCAGCTATGCGAGCTCGGATTCAGTTTTGGAAAGACACAGCCGAGAACAGAGAAGAAAGCCAGGAATGTTCAGTATTTATCCGAGGTTTAGTCTTTAAGCTGCGCGAGCTCTCCTGTTACCTACTCCGCCGACAGGAGTTTAAATGGGAACGTTAGTATAAAAATGACCGTGTAACTACACGCCCTATTTCTGACATGCTGCAACAGCATTATGGTGTCAGCCTGTGCTGTCTTGAAACACGCCAGCCATTTTCAATTTTTTAGCGTATCATAAACGATTTTGTGTAATGAAACGCGTTTATCCTATGCTTATACCATGCATTTATCACGACATTTTAGACATATCGATAACACCAAAGCATTTGATTGAGTAT